CCGGCCGGGCCCGCCGGTGCCGCGGCTCGGGGCGGTGCGGGCGGGCCCGGCGGCGGAGGGGCCGCGCGGGCGGGCAGAAAATGGCGGAACACAAGATGTCGGCCGCGCCGGCGGGGCGGGGAGGCCGCGGCTCGGGGCCGGGGGGACGGCGTTATCCCGGCCGGCACGGGGTTATTCTCGCCGGGACGGCCTTATCCCCGCGGCTTCGCCTCCTCCCGGCCCGCAGCGCCGCGGGACAGCCGCTCCTTTGTCCCCGCGCTCCCTCCGCCGCCTCCCCCCGCCCCGGCGGCACCGCGGGCGCGCCCGCGCCGGGCACGCGCGGGAGGGAGGGAGGGAAGGAGGGAGGGAGGGAAAGAWGCGCCGGGAGCCGCCGGGAWGCGCCGGGCACCGCCAGCCCCGGCCCTTGGGCAGCCACCGCCGCCTCTGCCCGTCATTTTTACCWCGGGAAGTTTTGTCGGTGCAAAGCGTAGATGTAAATTTTTTCTTCTATTCTGTTCTTTTACCCACTGTTTTGTATTGAGAACCTTTATCGCGTTTCAGGCAGCGAGACAAAATCTCGTTCGCTGGTTTTGTCTGTGGCGTTTTAAATGGGTTTAGGGTGTTAAGTTGTCGTGGTGCTTTCTAGGTGGACACAATAAAGGACTTTAAAATGGATATGCTGGTTTTTCATACCCAGTCTGTTCTCTGCCAAGGGTCTGTGTTAAGCTGCACGTTATTCTGTTAATTGGGTTTTTCTAATTAAGATTTCTGCRCAAGCAGGATGTTTCTCATTGCGTTTCTGTCAACGTTGTGTTGCTGCATTAAAATTAGGGGGAARAATTGAAACAGTGAGGTGTCATCARGGGAGGATAATTCTTCTTCAACTTGAATATTAAGAAATTAAATGATTATACAACATCTGGTTTGTATTTTTCAACGGCRTAGAAGTTTATTGTTACACTGCTCTTTTTCTGAGCCTGGTCCTTTTGGTTTAATACAAATCTCATATGAAGCTTGTGAACATCCAAAACACCAGCAGTGCATGATGTGTTTTCCTTTGGAGCATGTAAACATGATGTAAATTATTTAGAARGAATGCACTGTTTAAAAGGGGAGAATAAGGGCTGGCCATGCAATTAGGCTTCATGTGAAAATACATCACCTGAATGYACTGGGAATAAAGGTGTGTGTAAACTGGGGAGATGCTTAATGCAGGACCACATAAAATGCATTCCTAAAGCTACATTAATGAAGGGCATGTGTTTAAGCTGTAACTGGCGAGTTGTAATTGGCATTCATAGATGTCTTGTTTATGTTATACACATTTTAAATTCKGCAACAATGCCTGGAAGCCAGAGTAGGGACTGGGAGTTTCCTTGTCCCTCTGGGAACACGAATGACACCCTGTTTTTCCTGGGAAGGGTAGAAATGCTGAAGCATTGGTTTACTGAAGATATTTACTGAAGATACTTACAGTTGGAGTGTTTTCTTAAACTTTCTCTAAAATTAAAATATTAAAGGGGGATTTTTGTAATACTTCTTTTATGAAGAATAAGCTAAGAACAGATCAGTTCTAAACTGGGAACTTTCACTAGTTTTTCAGTTGAGTGTTGCTATTACTTGTTCTTAGGTCATCCCAAACTGCCAGCCATTATCTTTGATTTTAAAAAATACCATGTGCAGAAGTGATTTACAGTCGTGTTCCTGCCTGTAGTCAGGTCAGAGATCCCTCCTTCTGCTCTAAAATTCATTGCTTGTCTCAGCTGAGCCCCATCTAAGGAAGAGCTTTGGCATAAAGAGCTGAACTAGGTTGAAATGAACCTCAGGCTCATTAGAAAGAGAACTGTTATTTTTCAGAAAAGCCAAACAGTTCCAGATATAGTCATATTTTAAAAATGTAGCTTTGAGAGACTGTTCTGGGAGTCTCAGTATAGGTTGCATGGAATATTTCATTTTGGGTTCTGATGATAATGTGCTCATTCCTGAGCCAAGATAGCATGCTGTAATTTAAAAAAAAAATCAATGAAAATATTAATGGGATATTGTAAAGTGCATATTTTATTGGCTGATGCTAATAAAGCATTTTCACTGTCTTTAAATACCCAGAGGAGAAGGGGAATTGAGAGGAAAAACCTGAGATGTTACAAGTTAGAGGAAGAGAGGAATGGATAAGTTTGGGATTGTGACAGGGTATGGAATTGTGCCTTTCTGCCTGATTTCTCCCCTTGCAAACCCGTGATTGGATCTGTCTGTGGTGGTGTGGGTGAGTTACACAGTGTACTACAGGAGGAAGCTGAGAAGAACCACAATTAATCACTGCACTGCATTTTTTTATTGCTGTTCCCAGTAACAAGATTTGCCTGCCTATGTGACATGTGAAACTGCATCATCTGTGCTGCTGCAACCTTTGAGCAAAAGCAGCTGGTTGGGGGGAGCCGTGGGCCTTGGCCCTGCTTCATTCTCCAGCAGCAGGAAGGGCTTTTCCTGCTCTCACTGCATTCYTTTAAGATCCCAAAGTTGAGATTAAAAAATAAACTTGTGATTGTATGGTTGATTTCAATCCGTCCTTTGTCTGCAGTGAGGGTTTGCAAGAACATTCTTCATAGGGTTGGTGCAGCTTTCAGTGGGATTGTTGCCTTTGTGTCATCATCCCTCTCTTTATAGGGCAAATCTGAGGGATTGCTGGCACTCCATGCACAGAAGGTGCCATCCCATAACTTTAGTTATTTTTCTAGTCCTGTTAACTACCAGGAAAATACTCTTTTTAGTGATAATTTGCTTTCCCAGCAGAAATTTAAATTCAAGTTACAGTCCTACTTTGTATTGAATTTTTCTGTGTACCACAATATGTAATCTAGTTGTGCATCTAATTATTTAATCTGAAAATAAGATATATTGAGAAGGAAAAAAAGTCTTGCATATTCTTCCTGTAATCTCAGATTTATATAAGTTAAAATAATTTTTCTTATCCTTTTACACTGAAAAAAATGATTATCTGATATAAAGGCTGTGGTCAGGAAATGTTAGTTATTGCCATAATTCTGAATGAGCTAAATGAGCCATTTATGGTCTAGAGCTGCATCCTATTTTGTACTAGGAAGGCTTCATTAGCTGCTGTGAGAATTTTGGATGGKTGTGGTGATCATTTAAGAGTCACAGAGCACTGCATTGAGGTTCTGGAGCTGCTCAGTGATCCTTACAATGCTGAAAGAGTTGGATTTTGGAGTGGAATTGGAACGGTGGCTTTTCCTTGCAACTGCCATCACTGGGCACCTTGGTTGGAGGAGCTCAGGAGTTTTGAGGTTCTGGCTCTTCTTCTTGGCCCCTTGATGCTTCCTTAGAGGTATCTCAGATTTTGGGTACTTGTTCCTACAGCTTGATTTGTTTCATTATTCACCTTCCCTGGCTGTGTTGGCTCTCGAGGTGTAAATCACTGCAGTGGGGTTGTCAAGTGTGTTTTACCACAGAGTAATTGGAATTTCCATCATAGTTTGGATTTAGATGCTGAGACCTAATGAATTCTTGTGGTAGGGTACTGATAACTTCTTTTATGAGATCCAGGAGAGCAAAACCAAGGTTGGTGTTACAAGAGG